ACAGCATCATGGTAACTACAGCAACTAAAGTCCTTCAACACACAGCAACACAGTTACTATGGCAACTAAATTCCATCAACACACAGCCACAAGGTTACTACAGCAATTGAAAATTTTCAACACATTAACATAGTGACTGCAGCAACTAGTCTATCAACAGACAGCAACATGGTAACTATAGCAACTAAAGTCCTTCAACACACAGCAACACAGTAGATAAAGCAACTAAAATCCTTCAACACACAGCAACATGGTACCTACAGCAACTAAACGTCCTTCAACACACAGCAACATGGTAACTACAACAACTAAAGTCCTTCAACACACAGCAACATGGTAGCTACAGCAACTAAAGTCCTTTAGCACACAGCAACATGGTTGCTGACTGAGGAAGTCTTTCAGATGAGAGACGAAACGTTTCTACATTTTTTTGCTTTGTTTTATTTATTTATTTATTTATTTGAATGTGCAGAGGACCAGATTGAACTTTTTTGGATACAGCAAATAAACGTCCTTCAACACACAACAACGTGTAAAGTACAGCAACACATTAAGTACAGCAACACATTTAGTACAGCAACTAAAGTCCTTCAGCACACAGTAACATGATAACTACAGCTTCTAAAGTCCTTCAACACACAGCAACACAGTTACTATGGCAACTAATTTCCATCAACACACAGCCACAAGGTTACTACAGCAATTGAAAATTTTCAACACATTAACATAGTGACTGCAGCAACTAGTCTATCAACAGACAGCAACATGGTAACTATAGCAACTAAAGTCCTTCAGCACACAGCAACATGGTTACTACAGCAACTAAATTCCATCAACACACAGCAACAAGATTACTACAGCAACTAAAGTTCTTCAACACACAGCAACACAGTAACTACAGCAAATAATGTCCTTCAACACACAACAACATGTAAAGTACAGCAACACATTAAGTACAGCAACACATTAAGTACAGCAACTAAAGTCCTTCAACACACAGCAACATGGTAACTACAGCAATTAAAGTCCTTCGGCACACTTCAACAGAGTTACTATGACAACTAAATTCCATCACCGCACAGCAACAAGATTACTACAGCAATTAAAAATTTTCAACACACATAAACATAGTGACTGCAGCAACTAGTCTATCAACACACAGCAACATGGTAACTACAGCAACTAAAGTTCTTCAACACACAGCAACACCGTGACTGCAGCAACTACAGTCTCTCAACACACAGCAGTATGGTTACTGCAGCAACTCAAATCCTTTGGCACATACAAGCATGGTTGCTATGGCAAGTAAAGTTTATCAGCATACAGCAGTACAGTTACTATGGCAACTGAAGTCCATCAGCACACAGCAAAACTGTTACTGCGGCAACTAAGTTCTTAATAGACAGCAACATGGTTGAATATTTTTGTACATTTTATAATCTTTGTATGTGTTTTTGTATTTTTATAATTTGCATGAATATATTTTATGTATTGCTCTGAGGTGACTGTTGTGAATTGATGCTTTATAATTAAACTGAATACAATTATGTCATCACTTTTTTAACTCTTTTTGTTAGATACCCTCAGATTTTCTGAATACCTGAATCTGTCTGAATATTTACTCTGAACCACAGAGAACCTCAGTTCGTCTGTCAGACACAAAACAGAACCAGAAGCTGCTTTTGGCACTCTTACTTGAGTGTGTCGACACCTTCAGGTGTGGTTGGTTTGCTGAAGCGTCTCATGTACTCGTACATCTCTGGAAAACTCTTCTTCATGTAATCCTCAGCACTGCTTTCTCTCACCGTCCCAAAACGGAACCCCTGTGATGGATGATGGAGCTGGACACGCCAATGAAAAAGAACAACAAAAAGAGAAGAATAGAAGGAGAATTACCTTCAAAACCTTCTTCCTCCATCTGAACAGTGGAATCCAGTTTTGTCTCATTAACTCATCTGTTGTACTTGTTTAATTTTTATGTGAAATTACAGAAAAACGGTGTTTGGAAGGAGATATGCTGTTTGGAGCAATTGACCCAGGTAGGATCGCTCAGGGCAGATTGGTCTAAGTTGACAGGCTGGACAAAGAGCGCCTCAGAATCATCAAAAAGTCCATGCTCAATAATCCAGGTATACAATCCAACAATTTTCAGACAGGTCATCTGAACAGTTTCTTTTTTTTGGTGCTGAAACGTTTCACCTTCTATCCACAAGGCTTCATCAGTCAAGGACACACAAAGTGGAACAAACCAGTTATGTTGGTGCTAAGATGGTGTCTTTGGCACGCCCCCTCCTCCAGTGCTGGTCCTCTTCCTTGTCAACAGTCATGTTAAACTGGTTCAAAACCAACAAAGTCCAGAGTACTTGCATGGACAGACAACAACAGCAAGCTAAGTTTTACTTTAATACACTTTATATTTTTTTTATATTTATTAACCTTTATTTAACCAGGCATATCCCACTGAGATTACAGATCTCTTTTACAAGGGAGGCCTGGACCTGAAGGCAGACTAACATCATGTTTTTGGTCTGTGGGAGAAAACCCATGCAAGCGCAAGAAGAACATGCAAACTCCGCCCAGAAAGGTCCCAGGTCCAACTGGGGATTGAACCCAGGACCTTCTTGTTGTGAGGCAACAGTGCTAACCACTGAGCCGTTGTGCTGCCACAAGTGTTTTGCACTCATCAAAGCAGCCGGTCAGTTTATTGACCAAAAACAACTTAATGTAATAACTTGATTAATATATTCACTCTTTAATAATCAGAACTCAGTCACTGAAGTAGAATCAGTTAATTACAGGGAATTCTATACCATAACAAATTAATATTCTTTCATATGAGGAGACCAAATTTGTTTTTGTAGTTTTTATTTTAATTTTTTTATATTATTGTCTTTTTATTTATTTTTATTATTTTTAACCCCCCCCCCCCCCACACACACACACACAAGATAAAAGAAATAAAATATATATATAGAACCATCCCTCCCCTCCCACACCAGACCAGATCAGCCACACACACACAAACATCCTTATACATGTTCCCAACACAGCACCAGAGATTGGAGGGCCTGACCCAGAGTCTCCAGGCTCCGCTTCCTCAGCGGAAGACGTGCCGGTGGGATTGAGGAGGTCTTCAAAGTATTCTGCCCACCGACCCACAACATCCCGAGTTGAGGTCAGCAGCACACCACTCCCACTATAAACAGTGTTGGTGGCGTACCGCTTTCCCACCCTGAGACGCCGGATGGTGGACCAGAATCGTCTCAAAGCTGTGCGGAAGTCATTCTCCATGGCCTCTCCGAACTCCTCCCATGCCCGAGTTTTTGCCTCAGCGACCACCCAAGCCGCATGTCACTTGGACTGCCGGTACCCATCAGCTGCTTCCTGGGTCCCACAGGTCAAAAAGGCCCAATAGGACTCCTTCTTCAGCCTGACAGCATCCCTCACCGACGGTGTCCACCATCAGGTTCGAGGGTTGCCGCCGCAACAGGCACCGACAACCTTGCGGTCACAGCTCTGGTAAGCCGCCTCGACAATAGACACACGAAACATGGTCCACTCGGACTCAATGTCCCCCACCTCCCTCGGAACATGTTCGAAGTTCTCCCGGAGGTGGGAGTTAAAACTCTGTCTCACAGGAGACTCTGCCAGACGTTCCCAGCAAACCCTCACAATACGTTTGGGTCTGCCAGGTCTGACCGGCATCGTCCCCCACCATCGGAGCCAACTCACCACCAGGTAGTGATCAGTGGACAGCTCCGCCCCTCTCTTCACGCGAGTATCCAAGACATGTGGCCACAGATCACATGAGACGATGACAAAGTCGATCATCGAACTGCGGCCTAGGGTCTCCTGGTGCCAAGAGCACATATGGACACCCTTTTGCCTGAACAAGGTGTTTGTTATTGACAATCCATGACGAGCACAGAAGTCCAAAAACAAAACACCACTCGGGTTCAGATCAGGGGGGCCGTTCCTCCCAACCACACCCCTCCAGGTCTCACTGTCATTGCCCACATGAGCATTGAAGTCCCCCAGCAGAACAAGGGAGTCCCCAGGAGGTGCACTTTCCCGTACCCCCTCCAAGGACTTCCGAAAGGGTTGATAATCCGAACTGCCGTTTGGTGCATAAGCACAAACGACAGTCAGAACCCATCCCCCCACACGTAGGCGGAGGGAGGCCACCCTCTCATTCACCGGGGTGAACCCCAACACACAGGCACCAAGTTGGGGGGCAATAAGTATGCCCACTCCTGCTCGGCGCCTCTCACCAGGGGCAACTCCAGAGAGGAAGAGTATCCAGCCCCTCTCAAGGAAACTGGTTCCAGAGCCAGAGCCAGGCGTAGAGGTGAGTCCGACTATTTCTAGCCGGAACCTCTCAGCCTCACACACCAGCTCAGGTTCCTTCCCCACCAGTGAGGTGACATTCCACATCCCAATAGCCAGCTTCTGTAGCCGAGGATCAGACCGCCAGGGTCCCCGCCCTCGGCCACCACCCATCCCACATTGCACCCGACCCCTTTGGCCCCTCCCACAGGTGGTGAGCCCATGGGAAGGGGGACCCACGTCTCCTCTTCGGGCTGTGCCTGGCCGAGCTCCATGGGTAAAAGCCCGGCCACCAGGCACTCACCTGCGTGCCCCACCTCCAGGCCTGGCTCCAGAGTGGGGCCCCGGTGACCCACGTCCGGGCAAGGGAACATTAGGTCCGTTTATTTTTCTCATCATCGGGGTTTTTAAGGCTGCACTTTGTCTGGTCCCTCACCTAGGACCTGTCTGCCATGGGTGACCCTATTAGGGGCGTAAAGCCCCTGACAGCATAGCTCCTAGGATCATTGGGACACTCAAACCCCTCCACCACGGTAAGGTGGCAGCCCAGGGAGCGAATTAAACTCAGGTCCAGTGTGGCTGCAGGAGGGTCTGGAGATTTCCTGGTGAGCTGGTCTGATGTGTGAGCTAGCGCTCCCTGTTTTTTTTATATTTTTAGATCTTATTATTAACAAAATATAAACACAGAACACCGCTGCGGCTGAGGCTGCCAGCGCTCGCTTTTTTTCTTTTTTCCGACCTGTCAATCAATCCAGTAGGTGTGTCAGCAAATGACCAATCGGCGACCTCAATTTGTCCCGAAGGTAAACACCCCTTGTCTGTGAAGCTGCTCTGCAGCTCCTCGGGGTGTACACTGGAGTATCATGTCTGAACCCTCTGCATACAGTACACGCGTACGTACGCGTGAACGGACGTACGCAGCAGTATACTGGAGGCTTTAGAGTGAAATGAGCTACGACCGCGCATGTGCCACAACACCTCCACACAATCCTGGTAACAATGCAAGGCCTGGTGCAAATGGCTGACCAGTGGTGGTCCACCCAGTCCCAGCACCCCCGCCAGCACCTCAGCCATCAACAGGGGAGCGCTTGACCCTGGAGACCCAGGGACAACTATGATCCTAACGTTGCTCCCTCCCACATGCCCCGCCATAGTCTAGAACCTCCTCCCCAGCTTACCCACCCCATCCCCCAGCCTTGCCAAACCACTGCACAGAACCCCCACCTCACCCAACCAGCCAGAAAGCCTGTCTGTGGCTTCCCCCACACCCAGTCCCTCCTGGTCGAATTCTGCTCTGAGGGCCACAATGCTGCCAACGACCATAACCTGGAGCCCACCCCCAATCAAGTCAAGGCCCTCTGCCAGGGCAGCGCCCATCCCTAACCCAACCATCACCAAAATTCCAGCTTTCACCAAAGCCAGAATGTCCGACCCCAGGGCCAACCCGTCTATCTCCCCAAAGCCCGGCATGGGCAGAGCTGACACCCCCCTGCTCCAGAAGCACCACGGTCCAAGGATGGACCAGGACCAGCAGCCACAGAGCCTGCAGTCCCCGACCTCCCAAACCCGGAGGCCATCCTGCAGCTCCGTCGACCCAACCACACAACAACGCTGACTCCAGAAGAATCCAATGTGGAGGCGGTGAGAACATTCCCAGGCAGCCCTAAACAGCACTGATGAGAGCTCAGCAAGAACGCGAGCCATCGTGCCGACACCATCCCGAATCTTTCACCGTCTTCCTCCGAGAAAGTATGTTAAAACATATTTCACACGATTTCATTATAATAATTGCAAACAATACTGGTAACCAACATTGTTCATGTTTCTGTCATAATCAAACAAAACAAACTTCATTAATGATTTAGATTTTTTTCTTTATTAAAAGCATAGAAGAAAAGAGTAAACATTAGTCAGACTATAGCTGACTCTGAATCCAAGGACTGTCAATGAGTGAAAACATCAGACATTATTCAAGTCAACAGTAGCATTAAAGAAAACAGTTCAAGGTGAGTCTAGTTGACAACCTAAGGGTCAGAGGTCATAGGCAGAGGAGCACATCTTCATGCTACACTCGCTCAGATGTGGGTTAACGGGGGTCCCACCTTGAAGCCAGGTCTGGGGGAGGGGCTCATCTGCAAAAACCTGTTTAATGGGCCTCTACTCAAGGGGTCTGGTTGCACTCAGTCCAAATAAGTTACACAAGTTTGCCTTCCTGTGAGCCATACAATTAGGGTGCAAGGTGCCATGGGTTTTCATGGCTTGGTGCCTGTATGTTTGATGTTTTTTTTTATTGACTGGTCAGACTAGTCAGACTTGCTGGAGCCCTTAGCAAGGGTGTTGGAAGGTGCTACTCCTTTATTTAGCTAGGGGACGTCAATGCCCACATGGATAGTAACAGTGTGACCTGGAGGGGCATGACTGGGAGGAACTGTTTCTCTGATTTAAACCCAAATGGTGTTCTGTTGTTGGACATCTGTCCTAGTCAAAACGTGTCTGTTACAAACACCATGTCTGAACATAATGGTGTCCATAAGTGCACATGGCACTAGTACACGGATTGATGATAAGAGTTTGTAGTAATATCATCTGATCTGTAGCTGTATTGATAGAGACTCAGGTGAAGACAGGAGCTGAACTGTCAACTGATCAACATCTGGTGGTGAGCTGGATTAGATGACAGGGGAAGATGCTGGACAGACCTGGTAGGAAAAAAAAACATGTAGTGAGGTTTTACGAGGAATACCTGATGGATGAACCCATCAGAAGAATCTCCAACTCACATCGCTGAGAGAGCTTCAACCATACTAACAAAGGCTGGGTAAAATGAGTTATAGTAGGACATGATACGTGCTGCTGTGCTTGTTCATGCTCATCTGCTCACGCAGACTCATGTTAGTGCTGCTGTTTGGCGTATTGTTTTGGTACTACTAGTGGTTAGTGTATTTTTAGTTAACGTTTTTTCTTGGTTTGTATCTTAGATCTTATTACTGTTTTTCTTTTACATTTTATACTTTTGTTGGATGTAATTGGGACCTTGTGTACACAGTTTTGTTCCACCTCATGTACCACATGTGGTGCGTATGACAAATAAAGATCCTTGAATATTTGAATCCTTGAATATGCACCTCCATTCTCTAAGCGGCTGCCTTGAGCTGTGATTCAAAGGTTATTGGTGCCTCTCGGGCAGCCATCCTTAAACCCAGTGGTAGATACATTGGTTGAGGGAGACTTTCAAGCTGAAGAAGGAGTCCTATCGGACCTTGTTGGCTGACTGTGAAGCCTTGTTGGTCTGCGAGTATGGGATCGGGGGTCCTTTGTTATGGGCCATTCAGTCCTTATGCAAGCGGTGGGTGTGAGAGTTTGGTTCATATTACATGCTCCTGATTTTAGTATTTTAAATTTCTTTAATTCAATTCAATTCAGTTTATTTATAAAGCGCCAAGTCGCAACAGAAGTCGTCTCAGGGCACTTAACAGAAATATTCACATACATAAAAACAAGTTAACACTATCTGAGGAGCAGACTGCTTTGTGTTGTGATGGGGCTGGTGCAGATAAACCCAATGGTGCAGGCAGGCAGTCGAAGACTCAGGAGAAATATTAAATAATTTATTTACAAAAGCAAAAGGCTGTTGGTGCAGCAAAACACATGAACAACGAGGAGTTCACAAGGAGCAGACCAGGACATCACCAGTGGACAGATAACAATGCCAGGACAAGGACTAACACAGAGACACAGATTTCTATATGACTAACGAGATTTAACACCTGTGAGGGCACGCAGCTGAAACACATTAGAGGAAATGATAAACTGGGAAACCAGGGAGTGCAGGAACAGAGACACAACACTAGATGTAGCCATACTAGGAAAACACAAAGCCTATAAAAAACAGAAACTAGGGATCAGGAGAACACAAGACATAAACATAACACAAGATGGGGCTAGACACCAGGAAACAAACCGCAATCTCTACACTTTGAATTTAACTCCATCACAGAACTCTCATCTTGAACAAGCATGAAGGCGACAGTGGAAAGGAAAAACTCCCTCATGAGGAAGAAACCTTTAGCAGAACCAGGCTCAGGACAAACGGCCATCTACTTCGACCGGCTGGGTTTGGTAGGAACAGATACACAATGGCAGGTCAAGAATCATGTTAAGGTAGAAATAGTATCAAATGAAAACTATTCAATTTTAACAATTCATTTAAGGAAATGAGGTCAGTTTGTCCTCTATTAGTCTAAGCCTATAGCAGCATAACAAGCCAACTCTAACTATAGGATTTATCTTTATAATGTATAATTATCTCCTTAGTGACCTACCAGCTCAAACTGCTGCCCAATGAATTTAAATTTTTTTAAAAGCCAACACTAAATCAGAGGTGTTCAATTCTTATTAAAGAAGGAATACTATATTTTCTTCAGATTCTAGATGTTTCCCTGCTCCAGCATGTCATGATCTGTGCCTGTTGTGTTACTGTTTAGTATTTATGTATAAAGTATTTATGGGGCAGCTGTGGATAAGCGGTTAGAGCAGTCATCTTCCAATGGGATAGTTTTTTCATTCATTCAACCTTTATTTATACAGGTTAGTCTCACTGAGTCCTGAGTGAGGACTAATTTACAAGAGAGACCTGTAGTAGTTGTAGACCTGAGTTGGGGGTTTGATTCTACCACTATTCAGTCACATGTTGAAGTGTCCCTGGGCAAGACACTGAACCCCTCATTGCATCAGATGTGTGTCCCATCGGTGTATGAATGTGATAAAGCTCTGATTAGTCTTTTCACATCCAGATTATCTTTGTAGAGATGTAGTAAAGTGCTGGATGAATGTGTGCGTTGGAGGTAAATGATGGCACGGATTGTGTTGTAAAGAGCTTTGAGTATCTTGAAGCTTGTGTCTTTTTCTCATTTCTACACCGTAGTACAGTGGGCCTGAGGTTTAAACGCATTACAAGTCAAAGAACACAACTACAAATTATAAAACACAGCTAAAAATCCATCCATCCATTATCTTTTACCTGCTTCTTCCATTTTGGGTCACAGGGGTCGCCGGTGCCCATGTCCAGCAATCACTGTGCGAGGGGCAACTACAAATCAAAAAACATAATTTATGAACAAATGGAATTACATTTGCAGAAACACAGTTACATTATGTAACGTGTTTAAACCTCAGGGCCACCGTACATTTGTGTCCGTGGACTGTGCTTTCAGGCCGTTCATATTTTTTCCTTTCCAGAGTTTTTTTGCTTATGAATATTTTTGCTTTTCATGTTTGCACCTTTGAGTTTTTCTAGTTCGTGCTTTTTGCTGCCTCGTCAGCCCTTTGTTTTATTTTTGTCAACAAATTAGTTCTTTACTTTCACCTTTGGGTTCTTTGAGTTTTGGTTCTGCATTTTGGTTCCATTTTCCTCCTCAGACATGATAAAGCACTTCTGATTGGAAGTGTTTTTTAATTAACAGGGCTCTGCAGACCGTGGTGACCCACTAACGAGGTAATTCACTTGTTATTCAGAAGTGTTGGAGCAGAGAAACATTTAAAAGCTGTGGGGCGAAAGGTCGAGAGAACCAGGATTCAACTGACATGACAACATCTGTAAATCAATTCAGTAGGTTCCTCAGCAACTGACCAAGCAGCATCACAATTTATCCCAAAGTGAAACGCCCCTTACCTGCAGGAACTGAACCCCCTTTTCCTCTGACAACATTGTTGGTCACTGTCACTTTGCGGTCGGAGGAATTTCATGAAAAATCATCAGAAAAATGGTTAAACATGGTCAGTGGGGACCATGCAGTTCAGGCACGTGTTACACTGAGTATGAATCTAATACAGTTTATTCCATTTCCAAAACCTAAACGGAGTCTGGAAAAATGTAAAAGATGATAAAGCCCTGCGGCCGACCCCATGAGCAGCTGAATACCACAGTAATAAACATGTTCATCTGTACGATGGTAACTAAATCCTTCATTTTCTGTCATAATTAATTACATCATATGCTTAAAGGTTAAATTAAAGGTTAATGCTTAAAGCTAGTTGTGATTGGTTTTGTGTGTTATATATGTAGATATATGTTGCAACCTTTGGTTGCATAAAGTAAGTAAACTTTATTTATACAGCACTTTTCATAGATAAAAAGCACAAAGTGTTTTACAGAAATAAAATACAGGCTTAAAATAAAACAAAAACAATTAGATAAATTAGCCTTTGTTTGCTATGATCAGTTAACACTAAACTAATTTTGTGCAAAGTGTTTAACAGGTTGTGTAATGTCCAATTTACACTCAGGACATTCTGAATTTCACTCTAATTTTCTGCCATTTGTTGCTCTGAGGTACGAAAACATCCACTGCCGTAATTTGAAGTTATTAGTATCTTTAATTTTTTGGTTAGTCTGTCTTCTTTGCCTTAACGTTGGCTGATAAGGTCCAAACGTCTCAGGTAACGCTGCGAGCTTCACTTCCTCCACCAGCTGTCTTGATGGTTTGCTTGTCGGAGATTAGCTCACCTTGGGTTACATTTCCACGGGGGCGGAGCCAGCTTACTGTTCGCGTCACTGCACCCCCGAGGACTAGGATTTGACTGACACGCCTCAGGACAGACCTGCTTTTCTTGGTCATTCAAGTGACAGGAACAGGAAGCTGTGGTCCAGTGGCACAGAGGTCATCATCAGTGAATCAATCCCCAGTCCCTGCAGCCTGCCCAAGTGTCCTTGAGCAGAACACCAACCCCCCTCCAATCACCCATAATGCCTAATGATTCTTATAATGAATGAGAATACACAGTTGTGTACAGTACATGTTGTATTTAGTGCAGTTAGAAAGTTCAGTTTGAGTGTGTGAATGGGAAATAAACCATGAAGCTCTTTGCAGGACCTGGATGAAGTGAAAAAGCTTCTGTACAAGTGAGGAGGATGAAGTTATTGAAACTCATTCATTCAATCTTTATTTCTACTGGTTAGTCTCATTGAGCCACGAGGACTCATTTACAGGAGAGACCTTGTGCATGAGCCAAATCACAAGAGTCAGAGGTTTCCAACACAAATGTATTCACTCTGTCACAACAATGTGTAGACACCAGTATTCAGCCTGATGCACAAGATCCAAACTTCCTTCAAAAGCATGAGAAGCAAAAGCACGAAACCTGAAGAGGACACTAAGCTAAATGATGGTTTTACCTTGGCATCGTGGATCCCCGAGACCTCCTCAAAGGTCTTCTCGCCCACCATAACGGCTGCAAGGTTGGCAGTGTAGCTGGACAGCACCAGCAGACAGAAGATGGCCCACAGATTCATCAAAAAGCGACCTGTCCAGCACTTTGGGATCTTGGAGGACACAGTTCGTCCAAACAGAATTGCATAACACAGGTTGAGAGCTGAGGAATATGAAAAAACTCTCACCCTGTTGCGTCCGTGAGGCGTCATACCGAACGGACTCTTCCACTCGTACAGTGTCAGAAACAGAGCTGTGATGTGCAGTGCCAGGAAGATGCCCACCCACATGGACCAGTGAAGGGGCCACATGAAGGCTCCGATCGGGGCTGCTGTGTCCTTACTGCGCACCAAGATCCCCAGGCTGGTTGAAAAAAAGGGTGAGGTGAAGTCAATCACCTGGCTGCGGGCGGAGTTTATGCTGAAGGAGGTTACAGCCATGTCTGCCAGACCATGCAGAAGATCTCCCACCAGACCGGTCCAGCGCCCCCCTTTCCAAGCCCCATACTTCCCGTCTCCAACAATATAAAGGTCGAAGTTGAAGCCCATGTCCTCGGCCAGCTTCTCCAGCAGGTCAATGCAGTATCCATAGCAACACTTCCTGGACTCCAGAGGGAGTGAGGTGTCGTTCCCGCCTGCCACGCCCCTAAAGTACTGCTCCAGAGTCACTGACCTGTTGGTGCCAGCGTCCAAGCAGAACTGACCTGCTGGGCAGCTGCCATCATCATCCACATCTCGTGTGAACACGAAGGGATGTTCCACCAGTGTCACCACCCGGACCCGATTCCCTGCCACCGGCATCCCAGGCCTCCAGCGGCCCCCGGTCCACTCGCTGCCCTCTTCCCTGAAGTGGTGTTTGGGTCCATGCCACACCTCCTGATCTTCCACCAGCAGCTGGTCCCCGTCCCAGCTGCCAACCGTCACCCAGGTGGGCTGACCCAGCGCATCCCGCCGCAAGCTCCAGATGTGGTACCGCTGAAAGGTCAGAACCTGAGACCAGTTCTGTTGAACTTCAACTGGACCCGTGAATCCAGAAAAAGATGAGTTGATCAGAAACCTGCATAGAAGAAAACACCAAGTAAAACCCAGGTGAGGGTGGAGCTTCCTGCCAGGTGTGTTGTCTCAGTGGTCAGTACAAGATGTTCTGGTTCTGTTTCAAGTTCTGTCATGCAAAAAACAACCTCGAGTTCTGCTTCGAGTGAAGATGTTTCCAGAGCAGCAGTAAAAACTGATTTCTCAGAGTTTCTGTCAAAAACATCTTTTAAATTTTTATTCCTGCTTCCTCCACTAAACTGGACCTGATGTGGTTCTAATAAATGTGCCGTGGTTCTGAGTGATCCAGATGGTGTTTCTCTCCTGCAGTCTGCAGACAGGCTGTTCTGATCTCTGTTAAATAAAAGATTAAATGAATGTGCATGGTTCTGATGTGGTTCTGGTCTCGCCATGTTCAACCTCCTGCGTGTTTCTTTCCACACAAACCGTCTTCATGACTATAAATGAAATTAAAATGTGTGCTTGGTTCTCCTGCAGCTTCTCCTGAGAGCTGAAGATAGACGAGGACTTCTGCTTCAAACAGAGTAAACTAATAAAATATACAGTTTGGGATTAAATATGCTGCTCTAATTTCCTGTCCTCTACATGAAATTATTTGCTGTGAGATCATTCGGGTCAATAACTGTATCTGATACTGAGGATCAATGAATCCAGATGGAAGATGACCTTAAACTGAGCAGAGTAAATTAATAAAAAACTTAAAGATGATCCATAAAATGTATCTGTAGTTCACATAAACAACTCCACTTTCTTTCAGGATCTGATTCTTTACACCACAAAAATAAAATAAATAAAAACATATTACATCATGGCCAGCACGGGGGAGCAACTGGTAGAGCTGCTGCCTCTCAGCAAGAAGGTTGCCGGTTCAAATCCCGGTCCAGGGGCTTCTCTGGGTGTAGTTTGCATGTTCTCTCCGTGCATGTGTGGGTTTTCTCTGGGTACTCCGGTTTCCTCTCACAGACCAAAAACATGTTAGACTGATTGGTGACTCTGAACTGTCTCTAGGTGAGAGAGTGAATGGTTTTTTGTCTCTATGTGTCCCTGTGATGGACTGGAGACTTGTCCAGGGTGTCCCCCGCCCCTCGCACAGTGATTGCTGGACATGGACACCGGCGACCCCCGTGACCCAAAATGGAATAAACGGGTAAAGATAATGGATGGATGGATGGATGGGATAAATGTTCATTGTTATGCTGATGACACACAATTATATTTGTCCATTAAACCCAATGAATCCAATCAGCTACTTAGACTAAAAGCATGTCTTAAAGACATAAAAACCTGGATGACCCTTAATTTTCTCCTGTTGAACAGACAAGACTGAGGTTTTGGTTTTTGGACCTGAGCACCTTAGGAATGAATGTTTCAGTCTTTCTCCCTCCTTAGATGCATTAATCTGTCCTCCAGCTCTAATGTTAAAAATCTTGGTGTTATTTTTGATCAGGACATGTCTTTTATCCCCCACATTAAAAACGTTACTAGAACCTCCTTCTTCCACCTGCGTAATATCACTAACATTAGAAACATCTGATCTAAAGATGATGCAGAAAAACTGCTCCATGCATTTGTCACGTCTAGACTGGACTATTGCAATGGTTTATTATCTGGGTGTCCAAATACTTCCTTAAAACGTCTTCAGTTGATCCAAAATGCTGCTGCCAGAGCCTTAACTGGAGTTACTGGGAGAGATCATATCTCTCCAGTTTTAGCTTCTCTCCAGTGGCTCCCTGTCAAATCCAGAATAGAATTCAAAATCTTACTTCTAACCTACAAAGCTCTCAACAACCTAGCTCCATCTTATATTACAGATCTTATTGTTCCATATTTTCCTAACAGAGCACTTCGCTCTCAGACTGCAGGTTTACTTGTGGTTCCTAGAGTTTCCAAAAACAGAATGGGAGGAAGATCTTTCAGTTCTCAGGCTCCTCTCTTGTGGAACCAACTTCCAGTTTCTGTCCGTGAGGCTGACACATTGTCCAGTTTTAAAACTGGGATTAAGACTTTCCTTTTTGATAAATCCTATAGTTAGGGTCGGCTTGGGTTTCCTGAGCTGTCCCTTAGTTCTGCTGCTATAGGCTTCGACTGCTGGAGGACAAACTGACCACACTTTTCACTCTGCTACTGTCTTTACTTTGTTCAACCTGTTTGTATTTGTAATTATTTTGTCTATCCTTAACGTGTTTTTGTCTTTCAGGTACACCTGGACCAATATCTGGACCTGGACCTATACCTGGACCTATACCTGGACCTACCATTCTGTGTTCGTCTGTCTCTCCTTCCTGTCCTCTCAACCAGCCGGTCAAAGCAGATGGTCTCTTGTCCTGAGCTGGTTCTGCTGGAGGTTTCTTCCTGTTAAAGGGAGTTTTTCTTTCCACTGTTGCCACTGTGCTTGCTCAGGATGGGAGACTGCAACGAAGCCAAGATTCAACTTGATAGAGAACTTTACTAATTGGCTTTTATGTGAATGTTTCTGTAAAGTGCCCTGAGACAACTTTGTTGTGATTTGGTGCTTTATAAATAAACTGAATTCAAATTAATTGAGTTAACTTGGAGTTAAAATGGAGCTGATCTGGAGTTTAACTGGAGTTGATCTGGAGTTAATCTGGAATTAACCTGGTGTTAACCTGGAGTTAACTTTGAATTAACCCAGAGTTAATCTGGAGTT